TTTGATTGCCAAGGTTTTCTCCACATTGGAGAAAAAAACTGGTGGGTCTACATTTGTCAAATCCTGATTACGCTTTCTACATGTAGGTTCATAGTTTACAATCTTAATTCTTGAAGAAATACCAAAATCTATTGTTGAAATCTCAGAACTAAATTGATACAACAGATGCATTGTACAGAAGTTGGGCTTGCTTCAGAGAATGGGGATGTCTTTCAAAACACGTGGGTAGATGTCACCACAGGTAAAAAGGTGGAATTCTCTGCAATCGCCGATAATGTCCAGTACATGCTCTTGAGATAGGTGCTGTGTGGCATGGCATTTTGAGCAGGGTTGACATGTGACCATGCTGAGGCAGCAGCTTGGAATGGCCTCCCCTATAGCACCAAGAGCTATCACCATCAATGCCTGTTTTATTCCTCACCATCATGTTAAGAAAATAAGTCTGTAAGCACTATCAGAAGTAATTTCCAAAAAATAGGGATTTCTAGATTCCTATGGATGGTTTCAAAAATCAAGTCAGAATGCTTTGGATAAAAATTGGTAAGACAGGGAATGAGGCAAGAGGCTAACGGGAGTGGGCTGAGTGTGAGCAAAATACATCATATACATGGACAGAATGTTAGATAAAACCCATGATTATGCATAGTTATTATGATAATAAAAACCTGAAAAATGCCTTTGGTTAATGGGAGTTCTCTGCTCATAAATACTATTGTATTGTTTTGTCTTTATTGAAGTGATTCAGTGCATGCCTCTAACAGCGCCTGACTTGGGAACCATTGAATGCAGTCACCCCCTGGCCAACTTCAGTTTTACTTCTGCTTGTAGCTTCAACTGCTTAGAAGAAACTGATTTAATTGGAGAGAAGACAACTGTTTGTGGATCATCTGGCATCTGGTCCAGTCCTATTCCAATATGTCAAAGTGAGTAATTTTCCCCAGAAATACGGAAGACTTAAAGATGGAGCCGAGTGACCAGCAGAAGATGGGAAAGCTATACCAACCTTTTAAATTTCATTTTCCATAGTACATGTGGCATAAAAATAAATTTATATGCATTAATGTAACATAAAATACTTTACTTGACTATGGTAGCGCACGCCTTTAATCCCAGCACTCGGGAGGCAGAGGCAGGCGGATCTCTGTGAGCTCGAGGCCAGCCTGGTCTCCATAGTGAATCCAGGCCAGCTAGGGCTACAGGGAGACCCTGTCTCAAAAAGACCAAAAAAATAAATAAATACTTGACTATTCTTGTCCCCTCTTTTAATGATAACTATTTTCTCTTTTCAATCTCAACTTTTCTCTTACTTTTAAAATCTAAACCCATTGTCTGCAAACTTATTTTTTACTCATTTTTTCCATTCCACTTCAATCTGATTTCTCTGTTAGCACTTCAATGACAACCTAATTCCCAATATAGTGGATAGTTCTCCACTATCCTAAGCTGACTTTCCCCAAATTCATCTATGCATAAGAAGGACCATGTCTTCCTCATCTTTGTGTATAGACCCCCATGACAGAGTTTGTTAAAAAGTACTAAAAATAATCGTGTGTTAAATTGTCATGGGAAATAACAGCTATCATTGTCTGCCTCTGATATCATCTGCATGGAAGACAGAAGTGGTAGGACCTGAAGAAGCTGTCAGAGAAGCTGATCTCAGTGTAGTTAGAATAGAAATAGGGGAGCAAAGAGGTGGTAGAGAGGACATTACAGTGCGACCCCATATCCCAGGATTATCAAGCACATTTTCTTTTAAGGCTGGCTCCTTTCCATTTCCTCATCTTCAGCAAATCAACAAGTATCAATATGTAAAAGTTAATTCCTTTGCCTGGAAGCATCAGGAAATAGATTCTTTCATATTAATACTTTTTCAATAAAAGCCTGTAAATAAACTTATACTCACAAAGGGATAAGTAGATTTAACTTACTTGGAAGGAAGTGAAGGGAAGTGGTACATTATTCAATAGACCAGTGCAGGTCCCGGGCATATAAATATTTTTGCACACCTGTTTTAAAGTAATGTGGTAATAGCTTCCCTTGATTGACAAGCTACCCACTTCAGATAATTGACTTCTTTTCCTTGAGTAATATACTAAGCTTTATAGCTCTTCTCTGTGTTTGGAGATCAGCCATTAAACAAGATCAGGAACAAAACAATGATTTCTATTTCTTGTAAATATATTTTTAGATACATCCCAGGAATTTTATGAATCACAAGTTTAGGGACCATGATTCCACAGGCATTAAGCTAGAGGATGGTCCCATTTACCACCAGTGCAGACTCATTGTGGGCATTCCTATGCTAGTTCCCTCACCTGTCACAAGTATTGTCAAGTGAATTATTATTTGGGGATAACAGGAGAAAAATGTCAAATGCAGTGAGCTGAACTAAAGAAATAATGTTTGTGGTCTCATGCTATGTGCCTTACTGACTTCTCTTTCAGAAACAAGCAGAAATTTCTCAATGATCAAGGAAGGCAACTATAACCCCCTCTTCATTCCTGTGGCTGTCATGGTGACTGCCTTCTCTGGTCTGGCATTTATCATTTGGCTGGCAAGGCGGTTAAAAAAAGGTAGGTGTGTTCAATGACATTAAAATAAAGCAGTTTTAAAGTGAGGAAAAGAGAAAGTCCACAGGAAATTAAGTAAAAAAAAGTTAACTGAAGCAGGTGCCCAGTTCTATGTTTTGTAGACATCTGTCCCTGGAGATATGTGAGTCAGCCTGATGCACATCTTCATTTAAAAGAACCAGCTGATGTTTTTCATTAGGCAGACCTCTTCATGGCACTGTGCTGGGATGATCTTGATTAGATGAGACGTCTTATTGGCTCTTTGGTCCTATTTCTTTAAAGGCGGTAGGGTGGGGTGGGGGGATCATCACCATCTTCTATAAGCCTGTGTACCTTTGATTTCAGTTGTACAATTTCATTTGGAAGTGAATCTAATATCATCTAAAGTTTTCAAATACCTGACCTCTTCAAGAGTCACATACCTGTCTGACTCTTGACATGTGGGTGTTGCATTGCCCTTGGGAGAAATCCTTGCAGAGTTTCCCTCTATTCATTGAGACCACAGTTGTAACCAAATGTGCCCCACATACTTTCTCCCAATCAGGGACTTTAGGGGAAAAGGGGAAAGAGGATGACTTCCTTGAAAAGTTACTGTCTGCTGTCTAAGTAGGAGGTAGAATACAAGCAGAGACGAACACAGCACTCTTCCCTTTCCTCCTTTGCTCCCTCCTGAATGTGCCTGTGCCTTAAGGTGTGATCAATTTATGAGCCACAGGCTCACAATCTGCAGGAGCCTTTGGGTGTGCATTGCCACACTGACCCAAAGTCATCTTGCAGATCTATTCAAAACTGTAAAAAATCATACACCTTCATAGCTTTTAAGATCTCTTGGTTTTGGTAGTTGTACACATGAGCCCACAGTGCTTGTGACAGCATGCACAAGCCCATGCCAGACAAAAACCTAGCATTGGTGGGGGAGGTGGGCCAGATGCCCCAGTCCTAGCAGAGGAACTGCTGACAATTGGTAGCTGCTGGGAGAGGGAGAGTTAATTTTCTTTAAGGGTGTGATGCCTGGTAGATTGACTAGGCTCCAGGGAATAGACCCACACCCAAGAGCATTTGGAGAGCACAATTTAGACTTACTAGGCCTCTGAAAAAGAAAAATAATAATAGAGGACAAGAGGTTTGAGTGGTGATGGGGTAGAGCCTCAATATGATGAAAATACATTGTATGAAATTCTCAAAGACTCAATAAAAATATTTTTTATAACAGAAAAAAACATATCCCTGTTTTAAGGTCAGGGACTGTGGATGACCTTAACACAATTACTGACTTCTCATTTCTACTTTCCTGTCATGTGAGTTGATGAATTTTAAAAATTTTCTTTCCATAAATTAGTTAGTATGTATTTTGGTGCCCAACCCCTGTACACTAACGACAGCAGGAATATTATTTGCTATTATCTATTAATCTTACACTAGGATTTGAACTTTTACCCAAATTTAAAAATAGAAAATGATAGATTAGTTTTCAGATAAATCCAGAATGACCACAAAGGGAATGTTATGTGCAGTGCTACTAACAATAACCTGTTAGCGCTGAACAGTTAAACTGTCTCCTTTCCTGCTGATAGAAATTCCACAGAATCCTACCATCACACTGAACTATACTAAGGTACTAACTCAAAATAAATAATGCCATTTTCCTCTTACCATTGATTATCTTTTCACTGAGACTTCAAAACCTTACTCCAACTGTCCTTTCATTCTCCTGCCATGGGTAGGAAACAGAGCAGTCATAACACACTGCACCATGAATAAGGTGGCTATTAGTGCAATACCTTTATGTTAGTACTCTTTATAAAAAAAGGTAATAACTCCCATGATTGTAGATGCAAAAGAGTAGAATCAAAGTGACATGTATTTCGTGGGGAGCTAGCTGGATACAGCTATGGTATAAGCCGCAGGTTGTTTTTAAAATTTTAACCTTGGAGTCATTTCTGTACAAGATCTCTAACTGATAACTTTAAAACTGCATGCCCTTGCTGTGGGAATCTGAGTGGGGCAAACAGGAAACAGATAACGGCACTTAGGCTAGTAACAGTTATGCCACCAAAGAGAACAGAAGCCCCAAAAGATCATTTACTCTGGAGGGAAGCTCAAGCAACTAAATGCCATGTTTAAGTAGCCGTCACTTGTGAAATATCTACCCATCTCTCCAACTTTCAAGTGAATGACTTTGTCCTCCAAAAATTTTGGTTGTTAGTTGGCTCTTTATAACACGAGCAATATTTTCTTTCTTTCTTTCTTTCTTTCTTTCTTTCTTTCTTTCTTTCTTTCTTTCTTTCTTTCTTTCTTTCTTTCTTTTCTTTTCTGTAGAGATGCTATTAGAATTGATAGCTAGGACCCCAAGTTAAAATCCTAGAGATTAAATAGATACATTTCTAAGAATAACAATGAAAACTATCAGATCTGTATCTGTACAATATTCTTCTATACATTTCATAGTTCTACTGGGTTAATCAAGTAGGAAAGGGGAAGGTGACAGTTCAGAGAATGAGGGCCAAGAAGGTTGGCCAAACCTTCTGCTGTCAGACGGATCCTCTGAACCTGATGCAACGATGGCCTTTGCCCAGTCTTGGTGTCTAGATTTCAGCTCCCTTCTTCTGGTACAGGGATAAGAGAGGAGTCCACAAGTACTGTGTTTCTAGCTTCTTCGATCTCTAAGACAATGATATTTTTAGGCCAAATCTCTAAATTCCCTCATTAGCAGCAGCCAAATTCAGAATCACACTTCCATCTAAGATATAAGCCCTAAACAGCACTTGTCTTCAGAGTCATAAGACCGTGTTTTTTCCTTGGTTGGAAGAATTTTCCACCTGACCCAACATAGGGTTAGTACAGTTCGTGAAACTGAATATCTCTTAATTCCCTTTCCTTCAAAAAGAAACTTCCTCAGTTTGACTTGATTTTTGCTTATTTACTTGTTTTCATTGTTCCTAAAAGGAAAAAAGAGAACTTGAGCTCCTTGCTTGGTATGTTTGGTCCATATCATCTGCAAACTAAAATTTGAAAGAAAAGATTTGAAACAGTAATTTCTAGCACTTTAAAATATTAAAACAGTAATTAAGTACAACAGGCCTTGGCCTAAATATTTTAAATACATTTTAATTAACCCCCAAAGGAAGATGCTTACAAAGGACAAGACAAGCAGCTATTCAGAGACATTACACTGCAGGTGGAAAAACAGAGTCTTCATCTTCATGAGATGACTCTAGGCACCAGCTTGTGACCACTGAAATACATCAAACCCATCCCCTGTTGAGTGATTCTTCTTTCTCAGAGTGGTTTCTTGTTTTACTTTTGCTTTGTTTTCCAGTAGACCTCAATTCTGCACCTTACTAAGTAATCAACATTTATATTCTGCTTTGTTCAAAAAGAGTGTGTTATAGTCCATAAAACATACTTTGTATAGTATTTCAAAATTATCTGAAGAGTAGGAAAAAAGAAAGCCAAAATGGAGGAAATGAAAATAAGTTGGACCCACAATTTAAGTTAGGACACAAGCATATGTGTCACGAAGTCCTATATACTTGCTAGAAGAAAATCTGAGAATCTTGAGATCTAGCCTGTGTCTCCATGTAGCCAGCCAAAAAAGGAGGCACAAACATTTGTGATATAGGAATTAAATGACTATATATACAATAAATGAAAATGCATTAGTTACTCTGATGAGGCTATACCATTCCTATCAATTCCTACTAAGGAGACCAGAGTAGAATTTTCTGCTGGGCTCATATAAGAGAAGCAAGAGAAATAATGATGCATACACATACAGTGTTAGCACCTAAGTCCTCCAGGGAGGAGCCTGCTGACAGGGTGAGATGTGGCATGAGCTTGCAAATGAGAGCATTGGGCCTGACCAGCAGGAATTCAGCCTAGATATCTGAGTCTGTGAGCAGTACAGCGGGTGAATGGAGCCCCAAGAAACCCCTGCATTGTGCCTGTTCTGCCTGAGTATCAACCGAATGCTCACCAGTACCTCAAATCCATAGACTCATAGATGGGTGCCCATCTAGCAAATGCACAATATACATCTAAAGACATTTATAGGGGCAGGCATATACCTTTCTTAAAAAATAAAAATTGTCTACTTTTTGCTAATGTCATTTTTCTCTTCTCTTTTCTATTTTTAGGAAAGAAATCTCAGAAAAGGTAAGTTTTATCAGTGAAGAGTTTCCTTATCTGTTGATCCCTTCTCTATTTTCCTTAAGATGCTTTCTGTTGTAGAAATAGACCCAAAGTGGTCTTTTACATAGGGTCTCATCCAAATGATGTTTCCAGATAAAGTGATGGAGCACTGGCCTCCCTTAAAATTTTTTGTTTTTTGAAGTCAGAGGCATCAAATGGATGAATGTACAAATATAACTCTAGTAAGAAAGGAGAGTTCATATAAAGGGAATGTGGTCTCTGAATTTTCTTTGAGGGTTTGGCCTATGCTATTATGTTTCTTCCTGCCTTGGCTGAACATACATGACTAATGTGTACTAACTGAAAAACATTCAATTCAACAAGCATTTACAACAACTAATGTGTCTGTAAGGAGAAGGAAAGTCCCCCCAAGGCACAGGACCTCGGTGCCTAACACAAAGGGTAAATGATTACTACTCTAATAAGCACTGACCTTCAGAAATATGAAAAAGGTGCAGAGCATAGATTCTACCCATGGCTTTTGCAAAGAGGTCCCCCCAATACACACCAACTTGTCCTCAGTTCTTTCATTAAAGCCATAAAGTAGAATACTGAGAAAAGGTGCAGATGTGTAGAAGTGTCCGGCCCATCTGGCAAAAGTGAAGAAAATGAGGATGAGACAAGGTGGCCAGAGAGACAGAAGAAGGATGAGGAATAGCTGTGAGTCACAGATGCTAAGGAAATAGTCAGGTGGAAATAGTCTCAAATGCAGCCAGAAGAAGCAGCAGGTTTCCACTGGGTCCAGGAGGGACATCAGTGGGAAGACCATTTGCCGTGCTGAAATCTAGACAGAAGTTAGGTGGGAAAAGGCTGAGGGTTATTTAGCAGGAGGCAGAGCACAAACTGCTCTTCAAAAGGTTTCACTATACAGAAGAGGGGAGTGTGGGATGGGTACACAGGGTGGAGGGCTTTTAATTATACTTTTTATTTTGTCTCCTCATTAATTGCATTGATGGGGGTCCTACTTACAAAAGGGTCTCCTTGGGGCAGCTGGCCCCCTTATCTCTGTGGTAGGAAACCCATGGGATATAAAGATTTCTTTCATGCTCTCACTCATTGAGTAGAAGTCTTTTGGTACACACTTATCTAACCAGCTGTTCTCTGGCCCCAGGGACCACCTGCTTTAATTGCTACTGCAAGGAAATAGCTCAGTTACTTCCTGGAGGAACAGGAGGAGATGCTGACTGGAAAAAATATTAGCATTAAGTTATTTACCAACTGCCTATTAAGTTTAACAGTTTGTTGGTTTTCTTTACACGAATCAATTAATAGTTTGTTGAACATTTTCATATTGGAACAATGCTAAGCTTAAGAAATAAGCCTTTTCCTCTAACCCCAGGGAAGTTGTTGTTTAATTGGGGAGTTAAGACAAGAATATAAAACAATCAGAAAAATACAAGGTAGAAATGGTAATATGAATTTTGTATTTATGTAAAAGAAAAATCATTGGTCTTGGTGATCACAGAAAAATATTATAAAGAAGGTAAAACCTGGGTTGCTTTTCGGACAAATAGGATTTAAAGTTTTAGAGAGAATAAGGAAAGAAAGGAAATCCAGAGGATGAAAATAACATAAACAATGATATGATAAATATTCATAAAAGCAAGTTGAAGGGCTGGTGTGTAGCATTGCCTGGAGTCCGTAGCTTACTGAGAAGCTGTGCAGTAGAAGTTGAAAGAAAGATTGCACCACACCAGCGGGTGCCTTGAATGCTTCTCTAGGTGGTTAAGAAAAGCCTAGAGATTGCTTGGCCGCCTTGGGACCCGACCCAAGGATAATGCCCTTAGTGCTTCTAGCACTCAGGGTCCTTGACCTTCAGTTTGGAGTTGTCCCAGAGGCCCTCCTCTTCCATTAATGTGAATTTTTTTCACACTAAATCATTGTGTGATGGCACTGAGGAAGGGTGGGGTAGAAGATGTAGGGTGTGTCTCTAGAAGAAACCAAAGGTAGAATGAACACTGTCACACTGAACACTGTGAATTTTTTTCCACCTTCAGTTGACTCTCACAGTTCTTTGTGCCCATTCCTGTTAGTGTTTGGCTGTTGAATGAATGACTCCTTGGGCATTTGTGGTTTTGATTCTTGCTGGTTATTTTGATTCTTCTGCAAACTGGCTCTGTTTATCACCTCATTTGGTTACTAGTTCTAAATTCTACCTGGGTAAGAGCTACACCCAAATACACAGGAAGAGATGATGCCAACCTCAGTGGAGGGTACATGTGAGATTCTGCTTTCAGAAACATTTTTATCTCTCTGCTGGCAAGCACATTTGCACCTGCCGAACTGTGGTTTGCCCTGACAATTCATCACGAGACCAGAGCCTCAGAATCTGGTTCTCCTTTTGAAAGGTGCTAAGACATGTCAAATGTGGTTCTCCTCCACCCTTTCCAAGAATGAGACAGTTGTAACAGAAAACAGTGGTGTCTATTTCGTGAAACTAAATTTGCTGCCATCTCTGTAAATCATATTCTACCAGAATCTGGCACTTAGAACTAATACCATCCTCTCATGACTTTTGATTTACTCTGATTACACTTGCCATTTGAGCACATCATCTTCTACCTTGCCCCATTTCCACTGTTCAAAATCAACATGCAATGTCCTTCCAGCACGTTAGCTGTGAAGTCAAGGATGGAACTGCAGAAATGTCTTGAACTTTACTGGGGAACTTCTTAAAGAATCAGAACATCAGGCTCCAACCAGACCTACTAAATCAGAGTTTGCATTTAAAATATTAATGGGGGAGCTGGAGAAATTGTTCCACTATTAAGTGAGGACCAGGGTTCGGTTTCCAGCACCCATGTTAGATGGCTCACAACTGCGTGGAACTCCAGCTGCAGAGGATCTGACACCCTTTTCTGGACTTCACAGGTTCCTGCACTTATTCATGTGTGTATGTATACACACACACACACACACACACACACACGATTAAAACAATCTTTAAAAAATAAAATATTAACTTTGAGGTGGAAGTGCATAAGAGGGTGATGTATCGTACTCTAGGGTTCTTGTCCCCATTTGCTTAAATATATTCTGCTCCTGTCCAAAATTTCCAGCTGAAATAATTTCTTTGCTCCTCTTCACAACCTCAGTGGCTGTTTACATTTGTTACTAACACTTCAGGGTTTGCAAATCTTCCTTGCTTCTTTCTCACCTTTAGAGAATGTTTTTATGTACTACTAACACTTTTATTTTTAAAGCTCTTTAATTTGACTGAAGAGATGGCTCTTTGATTAAGTGCACTGGCTGCTCTTGCAGAGAACCCAGGTTCAATTCCCAGCACCCACATGGTGGCTAACAACCATTTGTAACTCCAATTCTAGGGGAATCCAATGTCCTCTTCTGACTCTGTGGGCATTGCACAACATGGGTGCACTTACACACATGCATGCATAAAATAAAAACAATAAATAAAATAATTTTTAAAAAGCACCTTAATTTGGGGCTGGAGAGATGGCTCAGTGGTTAAGAACACTGGTTGTTCTTGCAGAGGACCTGGATTAGAGTCCCAGCACCCATGAGCCATCCTTAACTCCAGTTCCAGGGAATCCGAAGCCATCTTCTGACCTCCGTGGCATTGCACGACACAGGTGCGGCAGGCAATACATGCGTACATATATAATAATAATAATAATAATAATAATAATATCTCCTTAATTTAATTTGTAATCTGTTGCTTTTTTTTCAGGATGGATGATCCATACTAATTCATCATTTTTAAAATGAAATTCATGCGCTACCAAAAAGTCATTGGGAATTACTTCAAATCCTCCCATGAAGAGTCTTGCACAATGGCATCCCTCCATCAAGAATGAAGAATATTTCCTTCAGTGGATCTGGAAGGATTTCTATGTGATCAATGACTCCTTCTACTCCCTCCCATTTTTCCCTTATTCATCCCCTTAATCCCAGCCCACAGTTATTGTTTATATAGCTCAGTATTTTCTTTTCTTTTCTGTGGAGGAACAAATAAGACCATTAAGGCAAAGGGTTACTGTGGAATATAAAGATGCCTGGCTTTGCTCTTTCCTAACTCATATTTCCAGTTTCAAGTCAATATTGTACTTGATGACAGACACAGTTAAAGGTTGATACATATAGAATTGAAAACTCAGTTTCCTTGCATATAATTCATAAACTATGATAAAAATTGATGAAATTATTGTTTTCCAACTCCAGAGAATTAGTTCAAGTTGGAAAAGTCCTATTTGCCCTGCAGTCCCACCGTCTGCATGTGGAAGCCATCGGAGCTGATCATTATTCTGCTTCCCCGTCTCCTCTTCTTAACTGACTGCCTTCCACACATAGCATCTCATAAGCACCAAATGAACAAAAGTGGAGAAAAATAGCCTGCATTGGTTTTTGGTTTTGAGTTTTCCTTCTGTTGTTATTTGAACCATGTAGATCCTTGAAGTCCACACTTGTCTTAGGACCACTGATTGTTAATGAACACCACTACTGTCATGCTGGCTGGGGGTGAGATCTCTTTGATGATGTGAAGAAGAGTTAAAATAGAAACATTCCTGGGCTCATGCTGAAAGGCTGTCCCTTTCTTTTTACCCCATCCCTGTTTTTAGCTACTTAGAGTCTATCCTTTAAGATCCATGCAGCTATCTCCAACCCTCACCAGTTTCTCTAAAACTAGCTCTTTAACTAGCCTATGGCTAGCTCATTTTCCATGCTTCCCAACTGTAAGTCCACAACATGTTGCATTTAAATATAGCCTGATTTTTTAAAAAAATGTTACTGAGTCTGTCATTTATAAGTCAGAATGTGTTTTCTCTTAGATAAGGCTGTATCCTCCTTAAAGGAAGAGATTTTGCTAGACCCCTGGAGAGCCTAGTTCATGGCTTGGCATTTGGCAAGTGAATAAAATAAATTCAAATAGAAGTTGAAATAGAAAGAGTATACAGTGCAGTGATAATGCAAGGTTCAGCAAACGATCTGCCCGTGGTATGCGATGGTCCGGGCAGACGGTCACTTAATGTCTAGGCCTGACTTCTTGTGAGAAAATGGGACCATGTTAGAAACTGGTTGGAAATATCTCCTGTTTCATGGCCAATATTGCTTTCATACAAATTTTCATGTCTTGTGGGAATATTTTTATTGTTACGGTTATGTTTCCTGTTCTTAAAGTCATTTCAGGTCTATAAACAGCAAGAGCTATGACTAAAGGCCCTTTTTCCTGTGGGTCTACTAGATTGTGTTACCATATTCAAGTGGATTAGGGTGCATTCTGTGGAGTTATGTGGTGCACAGTCTGAACAGACTCACAAAATAGGCTTGCAGCCTTGCCTGAAATGCTTATTTGGTTAAGACATCAGGACCAAGGAGCCCAAAAAGAGACTTTATGTTGGGGATAATGCACACAGATTTCAAAATATAGTCTTATACCTGCTGCTAGTTAATGCATTCTAGACATAATAGGGAAATTACACTAGTGAAATATCCATAGTATGGTAGTCTAACAAGATCTGCATAATGACAAAACCAGTTGACATGCCAAGGTGGATGGGGGAAATTTCATGGGGTCTCACCTCTAGATGGAGAGCTACAAGCAATCAATGAATGTTGAAGGAGGGAGAATCAGTTTTTCTCCAGGGTCTAGCTCCCTGAGAGGTTATCTAATCCCAAGTGGGTATCCCTAAGCAAAGGTATACAGGAGCATCACTAAATGGACTCTCTCTCTCTCTCTCTCTCTCTCTCTCTCTCTCTGTCATATATACATATATATGATATATGCATGTATATGTAACAATAACAATCAAAGAAGAGGACAAGATGGGGGCTGGATAGATGGCTCAGCAGTTAAGACTGCTCTTGCAGAGGACCTGGGTTTGAATCCTAACACCTACATGGTAGCTAACAACCATCTGTAACTCCAGTTCCAGGAGATCCAATGCCCTCTTCTGCTCTCCAAAGGAATTACATGACATGAGTGCACTGAAATACATGCAGACATAACATTCATACACATAAAATAAAAATAAGTAAGTTTTAAAATTTCTTTTAAAAAGAAGAGTATCATGGGTATTTTGATTGGCATTGCATTGAATCTATAGATTGCTTTTGGCAAGACGGTTATTTTCACAATATTGATTCTATCAATCCATGAACATGGTACGTCTTTCCATTTCCTAGTGTCTTCCTCTATCTATTTCTTTAAAGATTTGAAATTTTCATTGTAGAGCTCTTTAATGTATTTGCTTAGGTTTATTCTTAAATATTTTTTTGAGGTTATTGTGAATGGGAAGGTTTCCTTGAATGCTTTTTCTGATTGCTTGTTATTAATATATAGAAAGGCTACTGATTTTTCTAGGTTGATTTTGTAACTTGACACTTTATTTACAGTATTAACCATTTCTAACAGTTTTCTGGTAGAATTTTTTGGGATCTCATGTATAATATCATATCATCTGCAAATAGTGATAATTTGACTTCTTTTTCTAATTAGTACTCCTTTAATGTCCTTCTCTTGTATTATTGCTGTTGCAAGAATTTCAAGCTCTGTATCGAAAAAGAATAGAGATAGTGGACAGCCCTGTCTGGTTCCTGATTTTAATGGATTTAATCCATTTAGAATGATGTTTGCTGTGGGTCTGTTGTACATACTTTTAATTATGTTGAGGTATGTTCCCTCCAGACCAATTCCTTCTAGGACTTTTAACATGCATGAATGTTGGATTTTGTCAAAGGCCTTTTCTGCATCTATTGAGATGACCATGTAGTTTTTGAGTCCATTTATATGTTTTATTACATTTACTGATTTACATATCTTGAACCATCCCTGCATCTCTGAAATAAAGCTGACTCAATTGTGGTGGATGATCTTTTTAATGTGTGTCGTATGTGATTTGTAAGTATTCTGTTGAATATGTTTGCATCTATGTTTATTAATGACATGGGCCTATAGTTTTCTTTTTTTGTTGTATCATTACCTGGTTTCAATATTAGAGTGATACTAGCTTCATAGAATTGGTTTGTGAGTTCTCCCTCTGTTTCTATCTTTTTGAATAATTTAAGCTGTATTGGTTGTAGATCTTCCTTGAATGTCTGTGAATCCATCTGGACCTGAGCTTTTTTTTAGTTTGGGGGTTTTATAATATGAAATTTGCAGGTAAGTTGATGGAACTAGAGAGTATTATACTAAGTGAAGTAACACAAATGCAGAAAAGCAAGAGACAGTGACACATGTTCTCCCTCATTTGTGGATTGTAACACCAATCCCTTATATGTGAGTATATATCCTGATGTAACACCAGGAACCAGGAAAATGGAAAGGATACACGGAGGTAAAGGAAAGGAAAGAACCCGAAAGTGGGGGTTAGAAGGGAACAGATGTCACCAGGGGGGTGGTGGGGAAAGTGGGAGTGTTCAGCTGGGAGGGGAAGAGAGAGGGATACGCAGGGGGTTATGGTGTGGGAGTGGAGGGAACTCAGGAGGGGGGAATGGTGGGAGGTGGGTGTTATTAGGGGAGGGTGGGGATAATGGGGGTGCTGGGACTGGAAAGGGAGGAGGGAGATTGGATGGGAGGGAGAAAGAGTAGAGATGAATGGATCTTGGGGGGCTAGGGAACACAGAGGGAAATGTGATACCCCCCCCCGAGAAATGCATATACAGTGTCTGAACATCAGTGAATATGTATACCCGGAGGTTGTATGGCAAGGAGCATAGTGCCGGACAGGAGAGACTTCCCTCTGAGTGGTTGGTGAGAGTGGTCCAAGAATTTCCCAAAATAACACAGGCTATTGCCAGAGCTTTTAGTTAACGCCCAGAACTAGAAGTTAAGTCCCTACTGCTGAAGACAGGGCATACTTTGGATACAGGACTTGGAGCATTGGAGCAGGAACTGACCTGGAAGACTGAAGTTAAGCCTTCATAATGCTAGATGATAATATACAAAATGTGAAAGGAGAAAATCAATCAATGGTCCAAGGCAATCCTAAAGCCTAAGAACCAAAAATGCCTGGCATAGCAAACTACCTCTGTTGGTGCAGCAGTGTCACTGTTATCTGTGGGGTAATCAATAGCTATCTAATTGGACTTAAAGCTCTCTCAATAGGAGTGAACTCATGGGTGGCACTGTAAACACAAATACACATGGCTGGAGAGGTCATAGATCTTAGAGAAAACCCTATTTGTCCTATCTTTAGACAAATGAAATTTCTTACCATATGCTAAATGTCAATCCTTATATTTATAGACAAGCTCATCAAAGAAGCTTCTTTTTGCAACAGATGGAGGTTACTGTAGAATCCTACAACTGGTCAGACACAGAGAATATGTGTCTGAGAGATGGCCAGTCCTAGATGACATATCTACAGTTGAATCTCTACACCCAAGGCTATGGAACATAGTGGAACGAGGGGTAGAGAGAAAACTAGTGCATCCCTCAGCTCTTACCAGTGAAACTTCCTTATACAACAGAGTGGTAGAGTGCTATGCACACAGACGGCCACAACTGGCCAAGTTTTAAAAAAATAGGAGACTGAAGAGTGTGTCACTGGATAGGACTCATATTAAACCTCACCCACCCACAGCTCAGGGACCATTGCAGAAGAGGGGGCAGACAGATTGTAAGAGCCAGGGATGGTTCATGAACATAAGGAAGTAGAGGCTTCCAGGTCACTGGAAGCTTGCACATGTGAACTTGTGGCAATGGTGGCATTGAGCACAGGACCCATGTCTGCTCAATTAGATGAGGGTCCAGAGTGGAACAAGAGAAATGGGTGGTGGGTCAGCCCTAGAATGGGAACTGCTGGAGACTGATTACTACTGGGTGAGGGAGAGTAGACATTACTGATGATCTCTAGGTAGAATGACTAGACTTTAGTGGATGAATTTGCACTGAAGGACATCTGGGTATAAATGCTTGATGGTATAGGACTTAACATGTATGGCCAAATACATGAGGGCCAGTGAGGGGCTCGGCAGGGGCATAGATGGGGGAATTGATTTAAATTTGATTAAGAACTGTTGTATGAAATGTACAAAAGCTAATAATTTTTTTTAAAGAGGACAAGAAATTGAGAGGGAATGGCGGGGGGCATGGGAGTCATTGGAATTGGGAGAGATGGAAATAATGGAAATACAATACCCATGTATGAAAT